GATGTACACTGCTGCTCCGTACGCTTTAGGAGAGGCATCTCCAAAACCATGTAGCTCTATCTTAGAATCTTGCGTGATGCCATTTCCGAAGCATCGGGGTATGGTCACACCTTTCAGTTGCAACAACTCTGACTTCCAATGTAGCCACTTTGCTTTAATTTCACTGTCCAAAGGGTCATCCCACAATAATCCTTTCAACCACAGTTCTTGGAAGAGGATTTTGGCTCTGACAGTGAAGGGAGATATCAACCCTAGAGGGTCAAACATTTTCGATGCTAGACTAAGCAGGCTTCTCTTTGTCATTGGATCCGGAGATAAGACAATTCCACCCGGTGCAAGAAATCGGAAGTGATCAGAGGTCAAATCCCATGAGACTCCAAGCGCTTTAAGGGGTTCACTCGACTCAAACTCCACCAGTGACGATGAGGCTCTTTTGGCTGGGGCAATAGCATCCATTACGAGCTGTGAGTTACTTGCCCACTTTGTCAAGTTAAACGCCGCTTTCATCATGATCTCTGACATGTCTTGTTGAAGTTTCACAGTCGAGTCCACCGTATCGGCTCCTGTTAGGACGTCATCCACATACATGTTTTGTAGAATTTCTTGGACTGCACTTGGGAACAGTTCTGCGTATTTTTTTGCATGAGCATGGACCGTCGAAATAGCAAGGAATGGACTGGAGTTCACACCAAATGTCAGTCTTTGCATTCTATAAACTTTGGGTGTTTCGTTAAATTGTAAATCTCCCCACAGGTACCGGTGAACGTCTCTATCCTCTGGCGCTAGCTTGACCTGAAGAAACATCTTTTCAATATCTGCTATGAGACCAATTCTGTTTGTTCGAAATCGAATGAGTACAGATGCAAGGTTGGGCTGTAAAGCAGGACCGGGAAGGACACAATCGTTGAGAGAAACACCATCTCCTTCTCGCGCGGAAGCATCAAACACGATTCTGCACTTAGTCGTCGTTTTGTCATCACGGAACACAGCATGATGCGGCAGGTAGCGTACAGTTCTATCTTCATCATTCTCGTTAGGCACTACCTCCGCAAATCCTTTCTCTACATATTCATTGATTGCAGAATTGTAAGTTTTAGCTTTCACAGGGTCATGTCTTAACCTTCTTTCGATGCTTTCCAGACGTCTAACAGCTTGCATGTAGTTACTTTCCAGTTTAGGAGGGTCACTTTTCCACGGTAGTCGTACTTCATAGTTCTTCCCGTCAAATTTCAATCCTCTATTGAAGTCAGCAACAGCAACTTCCTCCTCCCGGGAAATAACAGTGTTTTCAATCTCAGCGATGCCAATAGATTCCAGTTCCCAGAATCTTTTCAAGCTTTTAGTGAGTCCACTGTTTTCTACAACGGTAAGCATGGATGTGGTATACCTTGAGTAACGGTTTACTTGTCCGGTAAGAATCCACCCGAGATGAGATTCAACAGCAACAAGTGACTCAGATGAACTACCTTTCTTGTACAACCTAGTTATGAACGAGTAGTAAAAGTCTGCACCAATAAGGACGTCTACTTGGACGGAATCGCGAGGGTAGGAATCTGCGAGAGTTAAACCTTGAAGATGAGAGTTCTTACGAAAGTCTAACTGCACTGGCCCGAGGGGGTTACAAATCTTGGGAATAGCAAGGGCCTCCATCTCCACCTTGGAATTTCCTTTCATTGGCGAAAGTGCAAATTTAACTCTCTGCAATCTCTTGGTTTCACTAGTTGTTCCACCGAGCATTGTAACACTTAATAACTCTGAGGGACCTTGCAAGCCAAGGGACTCTGCAATGCTCTTGCGCACATATGAACGTTGACTACCAGAGTCTAGCAAAACACGGACTGTCATTTCTTGACCATTAACAGTTAACCTCGCCAACGCTGTCTGTAGCAGTGTTTCCTTCAAGGGCAATGCAGGTTTAGCTGAAGCTAACCCACTTAAACTGATGTTGGAAGGCTGCTGGGGTGTAGCCACTAACTGCTGACCATGTAACAATTTGTGATGACGGCGGCCACAATTTGCCACAGAACACTTAGGTTGGCGACAAATCTTGGAAAAGTGCTTGTGGTTGCTAGGCTTTAAACAATTGAAACATAGTTTATTCTCTTGAACTAGCTTCCACCTGTCATCTAATGACTTGTCATTGAAAACTGGGCAATTTGGCGACTCGTGACCTTCCTTACAGAAATTGCAGCTTGGACCAGTTAGCTCGCGTGCCTCACCAAGTAATGCAGAGGCTGTATACGCTCCATCCTCACCAATTCGAGGAAATGACGGCTTTCTTCTGTTATCTCTACCCTTATTGCTTTGGGTATTGTTCACATTACAACCTCTCTTCCCCGCTTCTTTGGATACAACTTGGCGGTTCAGAAATTTGAAAAACAACTCAAGATCTATTTTATCCTCTTGAGTGTCTGCAAGCTCCAACTCCCATTTTTCTAGTAACTGAGGTGGCAACTTGGTCTCAAAGATGGGTAACAAAATACAACCATGACTCGTTGGATCTTCACCAAGCGCTTCTAAGGCTCTGGTTCTATTCATAAATGTGTCATAAAGATCTCTAAGGGCGGATGCACTGATCGCCGACTTAGCATCCATCTGGATGACAGATTTCACAAGAGATGAGATTATCATACGTTTTCTTCCATACCTGTGTTGGAGGCAATGGACCGCTGCTTGATAATTTGCTCCAGTTACTTCAAATCCTTCTATTGTTTGCAAAGCATTACCAGTAAGCACTGAGCGTAGGTAAGTAAACTTCTGTACTTTGGGTAAGTCATCGTTCTTATGCACTGCGGCTTTAAACTGGTCCCAGAAGTTTTGAAATTTCAACACATCCCCATTAAACTTTGGCAGTTCAATCCTGGGCAATTTAAGACTTGACGATTGACGACTGTCAGTATGTGTATTTTCTTTTGAAGACTGATGATCTTCCACTTTGGAATCCTTTTGGAGGTATTCATGAGCAACATCGATAGCTTTATCCACCGCACGTAAAAGATCTCCCCATTTGCGAAGTTCTTCTTCTATCATATCCTCCGCGATCAGCGCGACTATTTCATTTCTCAGCTGAAGATATTTCTCTCTGTGCACGGTAAGTCTTTCAATTCTCAGCTTTACTTTCACTTTGTTACTTGTACTTAGACTAAGCTCCGAAATTTCCCGAATCAGCCCGTCCATATCTATTTGCAAGGCTTTGGCTTTGCGTCTGATCGAGTTAATCTCTTGAATTTCTACTTCACTCGAAGACTCCGCTGACTCAGCAAGATTCATTTCTTCCTTCGACTCTGGTTTGACAACATTTGACTTTGAATCGTCTACCAACCTTTCAATCAAGACCTTCTTTTTTCCAGTAGTTGGTAATCCCTTTTCTTGAAGCAGCTTTCGCAGCTGATCGACTGTAAGTTGCGATAAATCATCATTTTCGGTCTTTGGACTGGCGGCCATCTTATCGCCCACGTGGTGATGACCTTGCGAAGAATTACAAATTAACTGTTCAAATGTCACCTTGTATCCGGCTCGAAGGACCATGTTAAGGAAGCGATGGAATACAAACTTGAACGCTTGAACACAACTTTAATCCGCTCGATTTACAATACACCGATTTACAACACGTTGATGTACTGCCCGGGAACCCGACTTACAACAAATCTACGAGCGACTAGCAAGGAAGTCACGTGACGTGTTATCTACATAATTTATTCTACTCTCACAGGTCCAGTCTCAAGGGGCTTTTAATGACCCGAGTACGAGTACGACGATGGGCCCTAACACTGCTTACAATTTTAACATACGATTGCAACGAGGGTTGGAAGGAGGTTTGATTTCCTTCTCATGTTTACCTATTCTTTCTTATTCTTTGCATATCTGTAGGTGATCATTTAATCGAAAGGTTTTTTTTTCTATCCGATATCGGGCCTTTTTTTTTAACACAGATCGACATTAATTTGTAACACGATCCTGTAAGAGATTCCTCTTAGTCAAAAACAATACATGTAGTCACGCAAGTGAGGAGAAATCGGCATTTGATATACAGTAAACACCGTTGCTTGTTAAATTCTGTTATTTAATACAGAGAATCAAAAGTAAAGATGAGAAATCCACACTACTGTGCGCAATGCAATATTTGGAATATATTAATATCTATTGACATTCATAAACACAGAATCTTTTTAGCTCTTTCATTTTGACAACAATGTTTTAAAGACATTAGTATTTCTCCAATATTATACAGACAGATTTAAGCAAGTACAATTGTACATGTAGAGACTATGGTTTTGAATGAATGGGTACAAGGTTTTAAAAACAACGGAATGCTTTTTGCCAGCTTGCTGTGATATTACAAGGGCGGCCACAAATAAGATATGATATGGCATAATCTTTGATAATCAGCCTGGTCATAATTGCATGTCCTGTTGAAACCTCCCATTGAACAATCGAAATAAAAAAATCTGATCAAATAGATTTTAAAAGCAACATGCCACAAATAAAACTCGAAAAACATTTTTGGGGAAGGTTGGCCCCAGCATGACTCAATGCAATGTAATATTTGGAATACATTAATATCTATTTACATTCATAAACACAGAATCTTTTTAGCTCTTTCATTTTGACAACAATGTGTTAAAGACATTAGTATTTCTTCAAAATTATACTAACAGACTTTAGCAAGTACAATTGTACATTTAGAGACTATGGTTTTGAATGAATGGGTACAAGGTTTTAAAAACAACGGAATGCTTTTTGCCAGCTTGCTGTGATATTACAAGGGCGGCCACAAATAAGATATGAGATGGCAAAATCTTTGATAATCAGCCTGGTCGTAATTGCATGTCCTGTTGAAACCTCCCATTGAACAATCGAAATAAAAAAATCTGATCAAAACAGATTTTAAAAGCAACATGCTACAAATATAACTTGAAAAACATTTTTGGGAAAGGTTGGCCCAGCGTGACTCAACCTCTTACTTATACTTAGGTGTAAACCAAAATAATATTTTTCAGAAAAAAGAACTTGGAGAATGTCTGTCAGCTGAGAGTCAAGAAAAGAATGTTCACACTGTTCACACCCCTGAAGGTGAAATAAAGATAGATGACTTTGTCATTTTTGTATGAGAAAATATTTGTTTGAATTAAAGGAGGCCCATGTGTATGACATTTATCTGCTGATATAAATTTAAAAATATGAAAAGTAACAGACCATAATCTTTACTCTCTGTTTTTAAACAGTGACACGTGTACGTCCACCAACGAACACTGTCTCACTTCAGACACTACAGCGTAGATGTAGAGAAAGATTTCAGGCTGCCATGAAGATTCATGGAGGAACAAAGTCTAACAAAAGACCTGCACTTGATGGTCTCTTCCACACTGTTTCTAAAAAATGCAAAACTAGTGTGCTTGGTGATTATATATTATCTAACAGTAAGGTTACGAATTATGTCATTAAGCAATGTAAGCGAAGGCAGTTGGCAGAATTTCAATGTTCAAAAGATAATATATTGCGAAGTATAGCTACTTACTACACTTCTGGGGTAAAGGGGAAAAGGAAATATCAAGCTGTGAGGCAGGCATCCTCAATGAAGTCCAGTAATTTAAAGAGGGGGGGTAAAACAGCAATTAATCTTATGCCAAACTGCCCCATAGCAAAACTTATCACTTACAATTCTCTTGTAAGTGAAATTAAAAAGATTGACATAGGAAAGGTTTATTATATTGAGGAAGAATTCTCTACTGACATAGATGATGAAAATATTAATGGGTGCTTTAGAGATTTACGTGAGTATTTACCACGGCTAGCAAAATTTTACTTAAATATGCAGGGGAAACGCAAAGGTGCATTGAAATGGTTAGGGGAAACAAAGGGTAGGTTTCTTGTTGCATTTGGGGGAGATGGATGTCCTTTTGGTAAAAATGAATCTGCTTGTTCATTCCTTATTAGTTTTCTGAATGTAGGAAAGAGACTGGCATCCAGCAGTGACAATTTTTTTGTCTTTGGTGCTAATGTAGAGGAGACGTCTCCTATTTTAAAAAAGTACTTAAATTCTGTATGCAAACAAATTGTAGATTTAGATGGACGTATATTTGAAATTAATGGTTTAAAAGTGTCATTTCATTTTGAGGAGCTTCCCAATGACATGAAATTGCTTGCAATGCTTGGTGGGGAGCTAAGCAATTCTGCTACATTCTTTTCGTCATTTGCAAATGGAAACCCTGGGAGTATTCAAGTAGACTGAAGATTGTTGAAAAAGTAGATTCTTTGAAGTCCTCACTGGATGGGAAACCTTTGTCCAGAAAACAGAAGAGAACTAAAGTAACAGAATTTATAGCTCGTCAAAAGAGCCGTCAAGAATGTCTTCCTTTGGTGGGTAAGTTAATTAACAAAGCTCATGTAGAGCCACTTCATCTCAAAAATAATGCTTGGGGGTATTTTTTCAAAGTATTGTTAAAGGAGGCAGTGGCCAAATCCAACATACCAGCAACCTGCAAAACATTTGCAGAGGTCCCACAGGAAACCTGTCTAGGGAGAGTGGTCACTGCTCTCAAATGTGAAGTGAAGGCTGGTCGCTTGGCCAAAAAGGTTCGAAAATGGTTTGACGAAACACAGGGTAAGTCGGGGGATTTACAGTATCGTTTTACGGGCAAAGAGTCACGGTTGTTTTGTCACAACTTTGCAAGGTTGTTGACATTTTTGAGGCAGGAAGGAGACAGTAAAAAACAACAGCAGACTGTCCTCACCCTTGCTTATGTTGGGTTAAGACTGAGGGATTCGTGCTCAATCATCAATCGATTTGAAGTGGAAGATACTCATCTTGAGCAACTTCCGACCTTAGCACAAGAGTACTATCGCGCCAATGCACTACTGTTACCCACCTCAGTAAATCCCACCATCTGGACCACTGGTCATGTTGTGCCTGCTCATGCCAGGCAAGTCTATGATAAATACGGTCAAGGTCTTTTAACAGTAACAATGGGAGGTAGAGAAGCTAAGCATATAGCTTTGCAAAAGTTGAGTGCAAACACCACCTACCAGAATCGATAGGCTGAAATTTTCAGGCATGAATTTATTATGTTACTTTGGTTACCTGAACAGCATCATGAACCTTGTTCTTACACTCCTAGTAAAAATGTTTACATTCCCCAAAGGGTTTTTAATGACAGTAACTATTGTTACTGTGGACTACATAAAGCTCATCCTGCTGACCAAAGCTGTTGTTTATGTGGTGATCATCTTATGACACTAATCCATAAAAGTGTAAAAGAAGGGAAAATTGTTGCAGGATTATCTTAGTCTCAGGAAAGTATTTAAAATCATGAAAAGGTGAAGTTACATGAAGCGTCAACTGCAGCCAACACATTATTGGGGTAAGTAAACAGCATGTGATCTTTGCAATTAGCTGTTATCTGTTTTTGCTTCAGAAACTTCAGCATTTCTTGTATAATCTGTTGAGTGACAAATGACTGCACACAACTGCATTTTATGTAACTTTACCGTGATTTAACAGGCCATAATGCACTGAATAGTGGCCACTCTGAGAGTTGTCTCGAGTGTTTCCTTGAGATATTTTGAAACGTTACATATATTATATACTGTAATCATCTGTAAATATTAGCAATGAAAAATGTACTTTGGAGATTCTCAGAAGGTGGGTTGGGGTTTGCATATTTGACCCAGTTGTTTGTCCCCCAGCAAGGCTTATGATCAAGATGTCTAAGAAAGGCATACTTTGATGTCAGGCAAGCACTTTATTATGTGAGATAACAACCCTGAGAAAAAAACATTCATTCACCCTGAAATCCCAGCCCAGCCCCCTCTGGACTTAACAGTCAGTGATATATTGCTTCATTAGGGAGCAGTGGCTAGTGGTCACTGTAATTATAATTTATTCATTGGAAATCTTGTAAGAGACTTCTTCGGCCCCAGAAGTAACAGACTTCTAACTTCTTGAAAAAAAACAAAGAAGAAAAACACTTGTATCACCTTGCTCCAGATTCTGTAGAATTTTGTCTGGTGCAAAAATATGAGCACAGCGCTGATCCAACAGTCTTACAACGTACTCCACATCAAAAACAAGAAGTGATGCCCGCAAATTTCTGATTTTGCCGCATAACTTTTCTGCTACTTAGAAGCAGTCACTTTTGGGCAGAAAGACAAGTTCATCAGTTACAATGCATTGGTAACAAAGTTCTGGGGCGGATCCAGGATTTTTTTTAGGAGGGGGTGCACTCGTCTCTTGCTCTACTTCAACACCAACAAACCACATAGTTTTTTTGGGGGGCGGAATACCAGTTGTATTAGAAAACAATAGGTCATCTCGGGGGGGGGAGGGTGTGCACCCCCTGCACCCTCCCCCTAGATCTGCCCCTGAAATTAAAACACTTAAAAATAGTTTGTATATTTTATAGTAAGAGAAAAAAAAAGAGAAGGTAATTAAATGTCATATTTTACTACCCATGAAAACTGTACCCAAACTCATTCCAACATCCATAATTGCAAACTAGAGTTAGCTGCTTTCGTTTGCAATTGTAGCATATAGAAAAAGGCTTTTCACTGCTCGCAAGCACCTCTGCTTTAAAACCTTTACGGTTCCCGCCAAAGCTTTTCTTAAGTTTATTGGCGACTTCACTCTGAGGGATGCCACAAAGCTTCGAGAAATCGCGCAGGAGACGATTTTTTTTAGTGTATTTAATCACATTGTCCTCCACTGACACCCCAAAAGCTGAAGGCGCCCCCTGCACAGACTTCACTAAAACTTCAAATATTTCTTGGGGGAGGTCACGCTTCACCTCTATCGTCCATGGATTGGAAGCCTTCGGGTTTGCCGACATCCGCCTTCTTATCCTGTTCAGCCAGATCAGAACCTCTGATGTGATCATGGGCCACGCCGGGAGGGAAGACATGAGAGATTTATCCATCCCATGCACCCCAACCTCATGTCGGTGGTAGACATTCAGCATTAGCTGACGAGCTTCCTCCCTAAAATGGGTGTAATTGGAAATAGAGCGCCGAAGAGCAGTAAAATTGCTTATCGACGTCTCCAAAATATCATTTAAACTAACTTCATCTTCCTCGGTTTCTTGCCAGTATGAAAATTGTTCCAAATCCTGCATGGATACCGTCTGCATTGTGATTGCTAGTTTGACACGTACGCTAAAATCATTATGCCTTTTATGTCTGAAAAACGCTGAGTCAGCAATGCTCCCTCGCTGGGGTCCAGACCCTCGCAATCTCTGTTGGAGTGTGAGGGGCTAGGGAAAAGGGAGTGAGGTTAGGGCAAGGGAGTGGGGCTAGGGCAAGGGTTAGGTTAGGGTTAGTGTTAGGGCTAGGGGTTGGAGTGGGATCAAGAATTCACACAATGTAAAAATCACACATTTTTAATTCATGTTTACACCACCATGCTATCTTACCCTACTTGTTATTACATGCATCTCAACTAGCCTACTGAAAATCACGTCCATGCTTTAAAGTCTCACATATCCATAGGGGTATGAAAATCCAGTGTCTTTTTCTACCACTCTCTCATCCCCGTTCACTCCAAACACTGTGACCAAATCTTTCAATCGGACTGTTTTATAAGTGTTATCTCTAACAAAATGATTCTTATTTTCAATGTTCATCACACGTCTACGGGTTTGTGAGTTCTTGTTGAATGTGGTTCATTATAGAGTTACAGTTTAACACCTGGTTGATTTCATAACAACTCTTGATGCCTTTGTTTTTGCATTCAGATTTACCACTCGCTGTTAGATAACAATAGGATTTAGGCCCTGCTGATCCAAAGTCTACAATTGTATCTCCTTGTAATTCATCTGTCATTTGACCTAAGAAAACACCCGTTGGTATGTGAGGCTGGTCTTGTTTCCAGCTATAAATCACAGAGTCGGTGTCGTAATACAACACTTGTTCTTCTAGCTTTTCTAATTCAGCATACAATTTAAGACGTGCCAATGCCGTAGTCAAACACGCAATGAAGATGTTTTTTTTTTCGTCCACCTTCACATGCATCTTCATGTTTCATCACATTCACCTCTAAGATATCTTGGCTTATGATACGAACATCTTTGATTATCACAGAGTCATCTTGAATCAACTTTTGCCATCTTTCTTCATCTTGGATTGATAGTGTTTGAACCCTGTGCTCGTTTTCACCAAATTTCCCCCAAAAGCTAGAAAAGCAAGAGAAAGAGATATCAGATTAGCGAGTATGTCATCAAAACAAAACATTACAAAACAAAAGACACTCACGAGTTCAACACCAGTTTCGATAACTGTTTCCTGCCATGATTTTTCACCATGTTGTCTAACTTGATGCCCTCTTTTTCTTCAAAATCTTTAACATACTGATCTTTCTTTTCCTGTGTATCACAGCGACTCGGCCATCTACTTGCTTCTGTTTTGTACCTTAACCAAGTATTCACATAGGGTGCAAACAAACCCTGCTTCCGCGGCGCCTCAGGAAAATGCCAGACCTCGTGGAGTTTTAGGATGTGATATCCTTTCTCAACCGCTTTCTGTAATTCTGGTGTACACCGCTCACCTGTCATTACACGATCATTATCGCTATGAGGGCAAAGGTTGGTTCTTTCATGCCAGGGGCGGTCCAGTTGTTCTTCAACACATTTCTTACATAACGGAAACATTAATTTTCCATTTAGCTTCACAGGAAGTACTGGGTGTAGCAAGTTCTCTGGGGCAATGACATCTACTTTTGCCATACCAAGGTAGCTATGAATATCTTGATCAGGTCGATTTACTAAGATTTGTGGATGTCCAATTGGATACGTCCCATACTTGTTGATGGTTGGATACAAACTCGTGAAATCTTCGTATAGAATCTGCTCCCCTTCTGCTTTGTGAAAACATTTTGCCATCCCCGTTCGTCCACCATAGAATGCATTTCTTGGATCTGACGACTCTATCCAAGTCATATTCTCTACCAAATCCAACAGAGGTTTATTCTGCTTCAATTCTTTCTTAAAATCACACTCCCAGATGTCTATCACCTTGTAACCTGTTCCTCGTAACAGGTCTGTTTTTCGCTGGGTGCATTGATACATCTCCTCTACCGTGCGATCTGGGTGGTGAAAGGTTTTGGAATGACGGTTGTTTTGTTTGCATTTCTTACAGCCATGAAATTCGCATCCATAAAATTCATAGACAGTTTTGGTGATAGGGATCACAACCATCCACTTTCACTTTTCCTCTCTTGATTTGAATCATTTGTTCACTCCCATTGCGAGCATGTTTGATGCGATTACCACCTAGCTTTGTATCTTCATAATACAACCATTGAAGAGCTATCTTACTTTGACATGTTTTCAACCCTCCCCACCCATGAGGTGGTTCTACTGCAACCGTTTTGGGTTCCATCTGATTATTACGCCAAAAATAGTGACATGTAGAGGCAATCGTTATACACTTTGTCAGTGGATTGAGCCCTGCATCTCGCTTGGTATCTTTGCAAATTTGAGGCAACCTTCCTTCAACAGCTTGACATCACTTTTGCAATATTCTAACATTTCTGTTTGGAAGTTCCAAATCTTTCCTTCTATCACTTGTTCTGCATGCCAAGTTTCATATTCTTCTTTCTTCTCTTTATTCATTTGAGCTGGTTCAAAAAACTGAAGGGATGGAATCTGATCTTCATAGTCCAAATTTTCTAACTTGGAAAACTTGTGTGGAAACCAACCTTTTTTCAGCTCTTTCAATCCAAAGGTCTTGGTAAAATTGGTCAGTGGCATATTCAGGAAGCAAAGGGAATCTTTGAAAGTCAGGTGTTTATGTTTAAAATGAAGCATCTTCGTCCCAGTAGCCATGATGCCTGTCACTTTCAAGTTCATCTTGTATAGGGCATCGATAATGAACACCCCGTCAAACCCTTTTAAATTATGGAAGATGATATGGCTTGCCTTTTTTTTTGTTTTCTTTGACCCATCGCAACATGGTTTTGATGAATAATTGAACGCAGTTTGTACCCCAATGATGAAAAATCTTTTTACTATCTCCTTTTGTGTAGCAAATCAAAATTGGGATAAATGTGTTGCTGCTATCCAGTACACATTCTATATCTGCAAAAATCATCAGCTGAGATGTGATTCCTTCTCTTCTTTCTGTTCTTTATTTTGCAGTTTGGTTAAACGTTCGTCTACCATCTTCAAAGTTATCTCATCATCAGTTAGACCTTTATCCAACAGTTCGTCTAAAACCTCTTCGCGTAAAGCATTCAGGCTATCTTCATTACGTTGTGCCTTTAGATGAGTCATTGAAATTCCATGTTAATTTTTCGTAATTCTTCAAGTTTCTTTTTACGTTCTGCTATCATGCTCTCTATAACACTTTGTGTATGATCATCAAGTAATCCCTCATCTACCATATTCAATAGTTGTTCCTTTTTCTTTTCCTTCCTTCTTAAATCTTGAAGCTCCAGTTTAAATTCTTTCTCTTCCTCAGATGTGATAAAACATTTGTGTTTATAAATGTTCACATATTCTAGGCAGTGCTTACATTTGACATACAAACATTTGTGAGGAATTTCTTTGTTTACTTTGTAGAATACCAAGCAATCTTTACAGCGTGTAAACTGATCACAAACGCTCTTCATTTCTACAATGTTGGGAAGTTCTTCAACGGCAACGGTCGCAGAAATAACTACGGTTCATGAACGCTGGGATCGAATACAAACCATCGTAGTGACCCTTTAAGTCGCCATTCTTGTCTTCATACTGTGATTTCACCCCCTTTAAAAATCACCCCACCCCGTGCTGCTTCTACTACAATTATTCTGCAACCTTGTGGACCAAGATAATATTGGAATTGCTCAATCCCTTCCAAACCACATGGTCCCTCACTGACACCTGCTTCTTTATCGACCTTCTTGGCTTGTTTGAGTTGTTGTGAATTCTTCCCACTGTCTTGACGAATGTTTTCGAAAGTGTTCTCTTCACCTGCTTGACGTTTGGAATATTCTCTCATCACCACAATAGCTCTTGCACAACAAAGAGTATCCTTGTTTTTAATTTCACAGACTCCTCTTGATTCTTTTGCCATTTGATCCCAAATCTTCTGACCAGGACCACCCCCTGCTCGTTTGCTCCCTTTGGTCTCAGTTCGAGTGAATAAGACTGAGGCTGAAAAACCCACATCGTTTGTAATGAACTCCCCACTGTTCAAAACATTCGACAGTTTCTGTAATAATGCTTGAGCACACGCTGCTCTTCCCGTGAGGTCCCCAACCGGTACTTTCCATGATTCTCCTGTCAATCCCTCTCTCCTATGCTCGCGACTACCTATTTGCAGTGTCATCCAATATTCGTCGGATATTTTGAGATCTTCTACAAGTTTATCAATACCAACTGTTATGGCATGTGTGGCACCGACATTTAAATCTTCGTCTTCTTTTGGTCCACGTTGCAGATATAACGTGAGAATGAACTTCTGATTCATTAGGGCATTTTTCTTCCAACGTTTTGCTGGACCCAATTTCTTGAAATCCGCTACGTACAACAGATCTCTACCACCCTCATATTCTTCATCGTCGTCATTTCCTGGTGTTTCTTCTTCTTTTTCCTCTGCTTTAGGTGGTTTCGCCGCATGTTTTGAATCACCATCATCAGCTACACGTTTCTTTCCCCGGGTCGTCACTGCCCCACCTGCTTATTCTTCAATATCTAATCGTGGTACTTTATCTGAATTCATTATTTCTAAACGTAATAGTTCAGCGGACTCCTCTGCTTTGCGCTTGGCGGCTTCAGAATGGAATTTTTTTTGTATGATTTCTGCAATTATCCAATCTAGTGAATGATGTGTCACAATAAAGACATTTTACCTCAGGAGTAGACTTTGAACAATAAGCTTTATGTCTGCAAGAGCTAAAACGGTTGTTAAGTAGCCTTCTACAATGACGGCAAGGTCGTGGATATGTGACTTTGGACATCATCAATGACACGGCAATACCAGCAGCTTAAATGATTGATGTTAAACTCCCCTTCTATCTTTCATACAACAGGCAGATCACCTTGGTATGTGATGGTGGTTGCAGAACGTTCACTCAAAGCAAGCAGGATCATGGAACTTAACTTCAGTCTCAAGTTACTGTGCTTTACGCTTACTCAAGTTCTGCAAATGTTAATCTTGAAATACTACTTGCACGCTAAAGACAAAAAATCTTCAACTGCTACCTCGAGTGGGCAAGATGAAGTGAACCTTGCATTCTAATTGGCTACCCAAGTGGGCAAGATGGGCTCATTTTGCCCACTTGGCATTTCCCGCGTTGGTCCCGCAACTAAAAGTTCTCTTCTTGACCATGTAATAAATCATTTATTGACCAAGCTTGGTCGTTTAAGATGGCTGAATATTGGCTTCATTCATTTTTGCATTTTCATTGACCAAGACAAGGCTGTGCTCTGTGGGCCGTGGTGCCTAACTTTTGTTCTCGGGCAACCAGAAAATCTTTCATTTTCTGGGCACAATGGATTTGACAAGTTCAGGGTACTGGGCTGCCGTCAATTTTTCTTAGAGCACAGCCATCCAACCATCTTAACCTCACACCTGGTCAATAAAGCATACCGGTATTTATTACAATTTTATGGTTGAATCCTTGAGCGGGCAAGATAAAGCAAATCCTGTTTTCTGATTGGCTACTCAAGTGGGCAAACCAATCAAGCTTGTTTGGTGAAGATAGCTGGGTATTGGCCTCGCAGAAAAGAGCTTGGCCAATATCCAGCCATCTTGACCGAATGTTGGTCAATAACACATTATCATTTATAACAATAATAATAAATTGTTAGAACTTTGTGAACATCTTTTCCAGAAAGGCATTTTATGTCTCCTCCCCGGTTTACTGAAACACTAACAATAAACCCCCCTTTACTGCCAACAGCCGAGCTTTGTTTGCTAGAAGCCTAACTTAGGAAACAAAGAAAACCGAGACTATGGTCTGGGATTAAAAACAAGGCCAAGTTAATGGCCGGTTTTATTCAAATCTGTAAAATCATCTTATCAATGTTAAAATATGAAATAATGTTTACGAATTTATAGGTCTAGCAAAGGTGAGGGCCAGAAGAAAAAGGCAACTAAACTAGAAGAAATACCTAAAGCAAGTAAAAAAGGTGGAAGATTGGGGAGGAGGCGGGTCGATTGCTTGTTCAAAGGATAAGCGGGTCAGCTATCGAAGATTCGGCTTGATGTCAGCTTTCAGACCGAGAGGATTAACAAAAGGTTACACCCTCTTATAAAGGGTCTCCGCGAGATAATGAGATCGAGGCTAAGTAGATTTACTTTGAGTGGCCTTACGATAGGAGCTCGTGATTATTACCCAAAAGTAATTTTACTTTTGGTCTTGTGATTCTCATGCGATCGTAAACCATTGTAAGATAATTCAAAGTTCACATTCGAGAGCCTCTAAGCCTTTGAAGCCGCAATCGACCCCACCCCCCCAAAATCCATGCATTGAAGAAATTGGAAGGGGAGACATAAGAATCTTTATTTGGTTCCAAATAAACTCATTTATGTCTCCTCCCCGGTTTACTGAAAGACTAACAATAAACCCCCCTTTACTGCCAACAGCCGAGCTTTGTTTGCTAGACGCCTAACTTAGGAAACAAAGAAAACCGAGACTATAGTCTGGGATTAAAAACATGGCCAAGTTAATGGCCGGTTTTATTCAAATCTGTAAAATCATCTTATCAATGTTAAAATATGAAATAATGTTTACGAATTTATAGGTCTAGCAAAGGTGAGGGCCAGAAGAAAAAGGCCACGGGTCGCTCCTAAGCGGCCCAGCCCCACCCGAAGGCTGTTGGCGAAAAGGAGGACGAAAACACAACGCCAGTTTGTGTTTTCAAGTACTAGTATCTAAAGTTGTTCCTAAACTCGGAGTTCTAATATAACGAAGAAAAGCGCTGGATTGCCAGCGACCTAGCAAGCGAATTTGGGAGTCTGAAAACCGCCCCAGCTGGCAGTGCCAATGCAAAAACTGCACTTTATATAGCTTTGTGTTTAAGTTACAAAATGTAAGTGCTGCGTTAAGTCACTCAACTAAATAGGATCTAGTAATCGGACTTCCGTCGGGCCAACAAAAAAGAGGGCCGGATACCGGCCCTCGCACAGGTAAAAAGTTTAAGATCAACTGAACTGGACAGCATGACCTTTCAGGATAGATAAAAATAACAAAAGGTGGCCCAGAATTCTTATGCTTGTAGCTATGCAAGGTAAGTTGCAGTGCCTGAATTCGGCCTTGAGCATCAACCAGTCGGTCTAGTTGCGAAAGATTAATGATATTGGTAGTGTTGCCTCGAGAGGCTGTTAACTCCCCAATGCGGAGAAAAGCGAAAAATGCCAAAGCACACATGGCAGACATGAGACGAGACTGGTAATGTGACGAAAGGGAATGCTCGAAAGCTCTAATTAAGTTCCGTAATACTGGTAAAGTAATAGGTAACCTGACATCATTGACGGGAGTTAGTTTCCGATAACCCTTTAAAATTTGTATAATAAGTGGCGTCTCAGTAGGATCAGCGACACCAGCAAGTTTATGAACGTAACTAATAGCAGAAATGTAAGTGGTTACTGACGAACAAGAATAACTCCTAGAGTATAGATGCGCGATAAAAAGGGCCAGTATGGCCGGTTGAAGAGGCAAATTAATAGGCATATCACCTAAATAAGAAGCCGACCAATCTGTAAATAACTTCCAAGGTCTTTTATAAACTGATACAGAAGCGTTACTCAAGCTTGCCTCTAAAAGAGTTTTTGTTATAACTGCCAGTTCTCTGGTAACAGTTGGGTAGGCACAGCTGTTGGTTCTGGCGCCATGTCCTTGGACAGGGACTTGAATTTGGTCACCTGTAAACGCGATAAAGCATCAGCTTTCGTGTTATGAACGCCTGGGAGGTGTACAGCTTTAAATAAGATATTGTTCTGCAAACGTGATAGAACCAAGGCGCGAAGAAGAACCAACAGCTCCCTATCTTTAGTCGTCTTTTTATTAATTACTTCCGACAAGGCTTGATTGTCGGTGTGAAAGGTTATGCATTTGTTCGCCAGCTGAGTACCCCATATTTTTATACTGAGAACAATAGGAAACATTTCTAGCACAATAATATTCTTAGAGGTCCAGGATGGGGGCCACGGACCGTAAAACCAATTCTGACGAAACACCGCTCCATAGCCTAGAGAGCTAGAAGCATCAGTATAAAGATGCAAGTGAGGTGATGAAAGCCATTGAAAGTCTAAGAAGAATGATTTGCCATTGAATTGTGTTAAAAATTCTAACCAGAGCTTAAGATCGTCCTTGACTATACGCGTTAATCTAATTAAATGAGTCTTAAGAGAGAATTAAGTGAAGTTCAGAATACCAATAAGGGATTGCATCTCCTTAAGGGAGACTTTTTTACGCTTGAGAAATTCATAAATAAGAGTAAAACATTTTCTTAGCTTTTCTTCTGGGAGGCGAGCCTCCATTTTGTCAGTGTCTAGTTCTATTCCGGCGAAACATAAAACACTACTGGGACCCATTGTCTTTTCAGGCGCCATGGGGACACCCAAGTCGTCACACATCGCTAAAAACCTAGACAGATTTTGTTCACAAGCTGAGAAAGTTTTGTCTATGAGAAGGAAATCATCTAAAAGGTGTAGAACACCTGAGATAGCTAACTTAGACTTAGCAATCCACTCGCGAGCGGTTGAAAAGCTTTCCCAAATTTTGCAAGAGGAACTGGCTCCCATCGGCAGGCATTTATCAAAATAGAAGCTGTCCTCCCAACAAAAACCTAACAAATCATAGTCTCATGGATTTATTGGAATTAGACGAAAAGCGTTTTTGACATCTGTCTTAGCTAGGGCACAGCCCCTGCCTGTGCGCCTGATAAGTCTAACCGCATCGTCAATCGAGGCATATTTAACCGTAGAGGCATCGTTAGGAATACAAGAGTTAATAGAATCACCGCAAGGAAAAGATAGGTGGTGAATAAGGCGAAATTCTCCTGGCGTCTATTTAGGAATTAAACCAAGCGGAGAAATGCGTAATGAAGGAAAAGGTCGTTCTAAAAATGGCCCTGCAATCCGACCTAGACTTAATTCTTTTGACAGTTTATCGGAAACGGCTACAGGGTTTTGAGTAGCGGATAAAAGATTTTTGCAACTGGAGGGTTTGTGGGGCCCTACATAAGCCAATAAAAACCCATGTTGAAATCCATTTAAAAGATAGTCTTTCAATTTAGTTGGATAGCCATCTAGGTAAAAATGTAATCTATTTACTTTGACTGGTGTTGGTAGTTGGACTGGATGCGACAGTGCGAGAGGTGGCGACAGTTGGTTTTCCCGACTTGCATTTTGTGGCAGGGCGATCGCCTCCACATTTAAAGCAGGCGTGTTTGAAATTACACCCAAAACATCTTTCACCTTGGTGGAATTTCCAGCAGAATCCTTCTCGGAAAGGGCTGCTTTGATTGCCGGTTAAACGAGTTAGGCGGATTGTTTGAGGATGAAAGTTTGGTCATGTGGTGCGCCTGCAACCACAATTCCCAATGCACTTCGTCCCAAGGGAAAAGAGATTTTTGACGTAAATAGCGAAAATTTTCATCATAATAACGCCGATGAGCGTTTTTTGCCGCCAGATCGCGCACTGTCCCACTGTATTTCATTAACCCGGGAGCGCTGTCCGGAAATCGGATGGTATAGACGGCAACAAAAACCTGAAATGCGGTAGTCCATTGATCGATGCTAGTAATGCGCTTAGAGTGTTGGACGGGTCCGAGACTGACCACAGGCTGGTTGGATCCAGATGATTTTACCGTGAAGTTGTATTTGGGATCGCCTGGCAAGGACGATAGAAGAGTTCCGAGATCGATATATTCGTTGGCCCATATTTTAGATTGAATTTTGTCCGGAACTCTACTCGAGAGTGGAACGGAAATTAAGGTATGGATTTTATTGGGCCTGTGGTCGGTCTCTGGCCCGCTAGTAATGGAGGTAGAAGTTAAAGTGTGGCCCTCACCAGTTAGGTCTTGAACAACCTGCGCTACTGACCCCTGTACAGCAGCAGCAGGGTCGGAGGTCTGTACTGGCTCTTGAGGGATTATTTCTGCGGACTTCAGGCTTTCAACTACAGCCGAAGAAATAGCACTCGTGATGCTTGAAACCATATTCTGAGAGACAACTGAACTCGAGGCCGCGGGACTTGAGACTGAGGATGGCCCACTGATCGCCGGATCTCGGGAAAGTTCGCTTGGGTGCGGCACTTCGGGTGGGTTGAGAGCAGGAACCGAGTGTACTCGAGAGGTCTGCTTGGGCCTCTTGGACTTGGTGGGGCGAGATGTACTGCGGGCCATGGCCCTCGGGCGTTTAACTTGTGCGCTGGAGGCTGTTGCGGTAGAACTTCGCTTGCCTCTAGTCATCATCGTGGAATATGGTTTAATTTCAAGCAAATCTAGACCGCAAGCAAAGGAACTTGAATAAATAAGCCTAAGGCGTTGGTATGGGAGATAAAATAGTAAAAGAGAGAGTGGGGAGGGAGGTGGGGGGTTTCCAATCCAGTAGCATTCTGCTCAAATTATAAATTGGAGAGAAAAAACGGAACCGGCAATAAAAGAAAAATCGGCAGCATGTTTGGCAATTTCCAAATTGGAGACGCCGCATTGAACATGCTAAAGCGCCGGACGGAGGAACCGGTCCGTAAAATAAATACAATATCTTATAACAAAAGATAAAGCTCTCCTGTCCGCCATAAAGGACGGTTACAACGACAGTAGAATGCTTGACTGGATAGACAAGTTGGAATCTGTCACTGAGCCTCAGAAAAAGTGGCTAACTTCTTCAAGGCGAATAGTATGGCTCCCCTATAGCTACGATAAAGAGCATAGTTACCCGCTGCGTTCAAATGAACGCCGTCTCGGCATAAAACGGCAATAGATGGACTTTGAAGCCCTCTATGGCTCCACGCTTCAGCATAAGGGAGTGGTTCGAGGACCACTTTGAGATATTTATTGAGAAGGTCTACTTTGTGGCTGAAATCGGGAACGTGTGGAGGAATAGCAGACCGGTAAACTACTAGGCATACCATTATAAACTCTGCTCCACAGTGATCATGGAGGACTTGAACTAAATGTTCAATATCTGAACCAACAGATTCGGGGCGCTGCCCCACTACACACAAATCATTAGTTCCCAGTTCTAAAATGATAACCTTTGGCTGAAAAGCCTTAATTTTATCCAAATCAAATGACAGCATTTTAGAGACGGTTCTACCGCCAATGCCTAGAAAAGATATATTTTCGTGAGGCAAGTTCATGTTGAGAGCGGCACGCCTATCGTGATGTTCGGTGAGGAATGTCTGTAAACGCGTCACAAATGAATGACCAAGAATGAGAATGTTGGCGGTATTATCCATAACAGCAAACAGTTGAAAACAAGAAGTAAATGAGATATAGAGCTGCTTGTTCAAAGGATAAGCGGGTCAGCTATCGAAGATTCGGCTTGATGTCAGCTTTCAGACCGAGAGGATTAACAAAAGGTTACACCCTCTTATAAAGGGTCTCCGCGAGATAATGAGATCGAGGCTAAGTAGATTTACTTTGAGTGGCCTTACGATAGGAGCTCGTGATTATTACCCAAAAGTAATTTTACTTTTGGTCTTGTGATTCTCATGCGATCGTAAACCATTGTAAGATAATTCAAAGTTCACATTCGAGAGCCTCTAAGCCTTTGAAGCCGCAATCGACCCCACCCCCCCAAAATCCATGCATTGAAGAAATTGGAAGGGGAGACATAAAAATTTTTATTTGGTTCCAAATAAACTCATTTATATTGCTTTAAAAGGGCTAGGTTATACTATATTTTGTTCTTTGAGAGGCTTAAATGTGTCTTGGCCTAAATTAAGGTCCAGAAATAATGGTCCAGTTTTGTTATTTAAGACTTAGTTGAGGCATTGGGACTGTTTCCCGTCACCTCTTGCTATGTATGACAAGGACGAACATGGACTGAAACTTGGCCAACTTTTTCAAGCTTAAAATAATGCTATGACTGCATAAATCACCAAGAAATATTATGGTTTGTGCTTCCTGATGAAGTTGGCTTGATACATGAATCTTCTTCATAATTATACAAGTCGACCATTTTGTGTATGGGTAAAGACACTAAGTAATGACTTTAGGATAGAAGTGACCTAAAACGTATACATGAAACACATAAACGGTTTAGCAGACTTGTATTATGTAAAACTGTAGCCATACTTTGTTTGTTGATGTATTTTTTTGCATTTAAATCTTTGCACTGGTCATAGAAAATTGTGTAGTTAAGACCACCATGTCAGGAGGGTAAGAATGTTTCCTGACACCGTATAATATTATCCTGCCGTAGAATGGTCATATAAGTGAGTGGTATTTGATCATACAGGTTAGTATAGTACTTAGTGGGACTGTTGATAGAAACTGATGCTTTGACAATGCCCATGAAAATGATGATCACCTTGTTGTCAAAACGTTAGTCGCTGTCAACAACAGTCCTACTCAGGACTACAATGTACATTCACCCGACAAATCATATTCCACTTTGTTGAAATATTATAGACAACCAAAACTATCACTAGCCATAAGCTGCACATGAAAGTGTTTATCACTATTGTTAACAGATTTGACATTTTCTTTACAAAAAAAAAAACAGTACGTTGTCCTTCAAAAAATATCTAGTTGATTTCTTAAAGGAAGCCTCACTATTCTTGTTCATATTTGCTATAAGTGTGAATAGGCACTCACACTTAAAATGTAATTTAACTTAACCAATGTGATGAATGAATACTATAAGAAGACCTGATTGTCAATTTAGGAAGCAAGGACAATAAAAAAAAGTATGTTGAAAGATTGCTTTGGTATTATTTTGTGCAATAAGAATGTCGAGAAAATGGGTTCTTGTTACTATAGATGGCGGGGAAAACCACCCCAAGATGGTGAAAAGCGCTTTTTTTCACGATGGAAATAACATGAAAACACCGGTTTCCGACTCGTAAACTCGTTTTTCCGCAATAGTTACATCCGATTACGTTGACGGAAACATGAAAATGACTTGTTTCCGGAACTTTTTGCGTGTTTCGGCAAGGATGCCACGCATTTACGCTTGCGGAAACACCTGCTTTCTTATACGGAAATTTGACGGAAACGTATGAAAAAGTGGTATGATTCCGCCGAAAAGGCAGCGACGGAAACACGGGTAAACGTAATCTGTCCGCAGACGGAAACATGTGATTGCCGTCATGTTTCCGCAACGGTTTTACGTGTTTACGTTAATGTGTTTGGCAGCGCTGTCGTTCCGTGAGCCCAACCAATTATCAGCTGTGGATCGTTGTGGATCACGAACACAATCAGGCCTACTCTGGGACTTTAAGTCCCCTAAAATCGCCTTAGGTCGCCTTAAGTCACTTTAAATCATGAAAATCTTAAAGAGGTTGAAATGGTCTCGTAGTTATTACTTATTTAGTTTTCTATTTCCAGAATGCATGATTTCTCATAAAGTGTGTAATAACCCATGTCAAGAGCCCTAATAGGACAGAGAGGGGGTCTCCCAGTCACGCCTTTGGGATATCTTAATTTCAAAAAGGCTATTTTTAGAACTATGCGGACCATGCGGAAACAGTTTCCGGTAACCTGGTTGACTTCCGGAAGATTAGGCACCAAAGGGAGGCCGGGTCAATAAATGAATAAAATGGCTGTCTAAGTGGAGGGACGATGTAGAGGGTATGTACTTGATAAATTGTCCTTCTTCAACGAAGAACCTACCATAGAAACTGGTGAAAACTTCTACACAAACGGATCCTTTACAAGAAACGGTAGAAATCGGTTAAAGCGACCGTGTGACCATCGTTTTTGTTTGAACAGCTGGAAAGAGGACAAGTAGCATCGCGGCGCGGATAAGCGTTGCACACAAAACACGCGGGTCCTACAAAGACGACCGTACAAGCGACCATGTGGACGTATTTTCTATTGAAAGAGGAAGGAAAAGAACGTATAAAGGTTTCCAGTATTTTTGTCAAGGACATGACCAGGGATCATGTGGAAAACACCTTTTCCTGCTTTGACTGATATTTTGTACCGTGCTTCACATTGGACAATTAACAATTAAGCACTTTAATATTCTTGAACACGAGGTGAATAGAAGCGGAATATTCGCGGCGAGGTTAATATTATAATACAAATCAGTAAGGAGACCATTTAAGTTCAATTTGATTGATGGTTTTGACGGATCAGTTCATGTGTGAAAATCGGTATGTGCAAAAGTTTGATCTTTGCAGAATTTTCAAACATTGCAAATCAAATCGCAGTTAAAAAATCCTTTCGCAAACAATGGCCTAATGGGTTATATGGAATCGCCAGAACTTTAAATTCTGCTTCCCAGCCCGTGAAGAAAAGAAGAGCTTTGTTTTCATCTGTCGACTCGCCAAGTCAGGGAAAAAGGTTTCTTGTGCAGCTTGTGTTGTTCTTTAATAAGTGCAGACAATGGTGGCCCGGTTGCTCAAGGTAAGGCGCCGTTTCTCTGTAGTTTTCTTGACATCGAAATCTCGAAGTTTCGTAAAGATTTGCTTTTATTTTTTTGTCATAAGTTGAATTTGATTTCTTGGGAAAATCCGCCTTTGAGGGAAACGTTGAGTTTACAAAACCATCTCTTCTATTCAATTAAACTGCAATTGTCAACATTCCATCGAGCGAAAAATACTGCTCAGTAAAGTTAATGGGAAAACGCTCTTTTGAATACTTTGAAGTCTTTTCTTACCTTCAAAAAAATAGACCCTAGGATTTTGCCGAATTCTTAAAGGTTCTTACTCTAAAAAAGACTGGCAAAACACCGATCTCACGCATTAGTTACTCGCGAGGCTAAAACACTACAAAGACCACTGAATGTGTATCTGGAAAACGATTTTTGCTTGTAAAAGCTTTATTTGTGTAAGGTTCTTTTTGTTTTTTCATGTTGCAAACAGTGTTGAAATAAATACGACAGTATGATAATCTCATCTGGAGTTTATTTACTTTATGTAGTTTTACCAAGCCTCATATTTTTTATAGACCTGTAATAATTAACCTTTACAGATCCTACACCACAATGTGTAGGTAAGTTTTCCATACAACCCCAAATATTTGCTGTGTGTTAAATGATATAAGCTTGCTGCTTGTATAATAAATGTAGGGGTTTGACTGCAAATCGTACCACAGCATAATTCAAGCTTCAGGCATTCATGGATGCATAGGACCTTTGATGTTGTGTTTGCCACTTATTGATCCAGCAAGTTTTCTCTATTTTAGTAAGCACTTATGGTTCGGCTGCTGAATGTAGTGTTTTTCTTTTCGTTATAGAAAGCTCTCAAAAGTATGAAGAATAAAAACTACTGCAATAAGTTTAAACTGTGTATAGCTTCTTGCTGAGTTGTGTCTTATTTTTTATACCCCCCTTCCACACAGAAAAAAAATACAAACCTAATTACTCTTTTTCTATAGTGTACGGCGAAACTTGTATATTTAAGCGGACTCCATATTAAAAGGTACATCCTATGTTAAGCAGATGAATAGCTCAGTATGTTTGAAAAGTTTCTAACCATATTTTCAGAAAAACAATGTTTTCAAAAATAAATGTATCGATACCTATTTTAAGGGGTATTTTCTTTGTGTTAAAAGGTTTCAACCAATCATAAGAGCTGCAAACAATAGCCAACTGAAGAAAACTTTACGTTAATTTTAAGTTCCTGACATGGGATATCTGTTTTATTCAGACTCATAAGAATTTGTTATAAGGATTCATATACATGCTGCTTTGCAAAGTTTTCTTGAACTTTGTTGCCTAAAGGAATCGGAAGTATAGTACAGACAGTAGTAAAGTGAGCACCTTTTTGCATTTCAGCATGTTTAAACATTGACTTTATTGATATTAATGTTGCATTCTAATGCTCTTAAAGACGAGTCTGCAGGCAGAGCGAGTATCTGTAATCTTTGCAATGTTTGAAAATTCTGTAAAGATCAAACCTATTGTTTACCGAATATTAACCTCGCCGCCAATATTCCGCTTCTATTAACCTCGTGTTCAATAAAGAATAATTGCTAGTTGTCCAATGTGAAGTGCGCAACAAAATATCAGTCAAGCCGGAAAAGGTGTGTTCCACAAGATTCCCGCCTTTCCGGTCATGTCTTGACAAAAATACTGGAAACCTTTATACGTTCTTTTCCTTCCTCTTTCAACAGAAAATACGTCCACATGGTTACTTGAACGGTAACGCTTATCCGGGCCGCAATGCTACTTGTCCTCTTTCCAGCTGTTCAAACAAAAACGTTGGTCACGCGGTCGCTTTAACCGATTTCTACCGTTGCTTGTAAACGACCCTTTTGTGTTGACGTTTTAAACATTTTCTACGGT